CGAGCCTAAGTCTACGACTTCTCCCCTTTCGGTTCTAAAAGTCGCTAATTAAATTGGAAGAGAGTTAATCGACTAATCATATAGAATCAACAAAACCCTAACTCGACTAATCAACATTCAATTGTTTTCAATTGCAAGATCGAAGTGTTACTCTTCGATTATATCAATCAATCAAACATAATTTCATCAATTCGTAATCAAATCCACCCGCACAAGAACGAACAATTCAAGCCCGACAAATACACGTTAAACAAGAACAATCATCCCCTATCCCTAGCCATAAAAATTAGCTAAGTAACATGAATTCAACACAATTAATCATTCTTCTTAAATCAACCATTTTCATGAATTAATCAAAAAAGAAAGACTTACAATCGATCCCAAATTCGAGTGTTGAATCTGAATTACAAGCTTAAGTCCTAAGTACTGTGAAGAAGAAGAGGAAAAATGAAAAAGAGAGATTAAGAAAAGAAGAAAAAACGAATAGAAGAAGGACAATGAAGGAGAAGAAGAAAGGAGAAAGGAGCGTGGTGTTTTCTCGGACCTAGGGTTTCCACCCAGTCGAGAGGTGTGTTTTTTTTTTATCTGTCGAAGTACGCATATATATAAAGGAAAGATGGCCGTCGCGTGGAAGCTCAGGGCGCGGCGTGATAGGTGCGGCACGGCGTGAAGGGAGCCTTTGTCGCGGCGTGAAGACCTGATATGCGCGTTCTTTGTCTGCCCGTGGAGGGTGTTACGCTGTGAGAAGAACAGGTGCCACGGTGTGGCGCTGAGAAGTCGTCCGCTGTCTGTCGGTCCGTGAGGTTCGCCGCGAGTTGGCGCGCAGCGTGAAGGAAGTCAGGAGTCGCGGCGTGCTAGAGCTCCGCAGCGCAACGAGGGCTGGTGCTGCGGCGTAGCAGGGCTCGCGGCGCGAGGCTGGGAAGGAAGGCTCTGTCTGGGTCGTGGCATGTGCCGCGGCGCGGGCCTGGGGAGAACTGTCGGTCGATTTGCACAGCTTTATGTCTCAGGCTCGTTTGAACTCGTTCGAACTCGGAATTGAGTTCCGTTTTTTCCTGCTTGTCGCCGACGAACTCTTCGATTTTATTATGCTTGCACGGCCAATTTTCGCTAGAAATCCGATCTTCCCGAAGCTTTTAGACCTGCACACCAAAATCGAAAGAAAACCGGAAAAACACACGAAAAACATAAAGAAAACTAAAATAGAGCAAAACACAAAATAAACTACAAAACGAACTAAAAACCAACTAAAAGACCTAATATGGGGGAAAAAAAAAAGCAAAAAGACAACGAAAAACACAACAAAAATAGGACAAACAGAGTGTGAGGATATTGATTTTCATATGAAAATTTGAAAGCTTATATTTTTCTGTTGCAATATAGACCAGTCATTGATCGAATGGCTAAATCACTAAATAATGGATATTTACATCATTACTTAAAACTATAAAGCAACTTGTTAACCTGTACAAGAGTGGAATTATTGCATGGTATCCTCTTTTTTACTTAAAGGTAATTAATTACAGTACCACTGTTCAACTCTCATTATGTCACTCCAAGTCATCATTGTTAGAATATCACTTGTGAATTGTCCACATTGTTTATACAGGAAAAATAGACCTAATTTATAAGTCTAATAGGATACTGCTCCTTCCACCAATTGGTTTTGGGATGGAACCCCATTTGGACTTCATCTGGGCTTTCCCCCGTTTTTTCCCATTTCTTATAATTATAATAAAACAAATATTAATTTATTGCATCTAATTAACATTAGTAAAATACATATTCTTAATGTGGAATTAAAGAATGAACATAAATTTTAGGTTCAATATTCATTTTCGTGTCCAGTACCACAGTTCATATATTCAAGATCACAAAAACGAGTCAAGACGGTTTGAGAAGCTCGAGCTCGAGTCAAATATCAACTTAAGCTCAGTCAAAATCATGCTCAAGCAACTTGAGTTGAGAAATGAGTCGAGCTCAAGTCTTTCTTCTTTTGTCAAATGTCAACTCAAGCTGAGTCAAAATCATGCTCAGCAACTTGAGCTAAGAAATTAATGAGTCAAGCTCGAGTCTTTTTTCTTTTATTATGTTACATTACTTGACAGTTGGCTCAGTATTTAATACTCTCATCTTATAATTTCACATCGATTTTATGTTCTAAAACAAGGATGAGCTCGAGTCATATCAAGCATCGAGTCATCTGGTGTATAAGTAGACTATTAATTTACGTGGCTGGTCAACCTCAGAAAATAATGACAAAAACAAAATTAAAACACAACGTTTGCTTGATAAACGTATTCTACTCGACCTGTCTAGAACTCCGACCAAAACATAAAAATTCGTAACATGTGTCAAAATTACAGTTTAGTAAGAAAATTTAGCAAATAACATTTCTACATCAAAATAGTTTAATAAGAAAATTTAGCAAATAACAACATTTCTACATCAATATATAAAACACTCCGTCTCCACACCCTACTAGAGTTGCAAATAAGTCGAGTCAATTCTAGTTTTTAGTTATTAAAGTAATTTTACATTTATTCTAACAGTTCGTCCATCACTCGACTTACAAACTACAGACTTGGTACTTCGACTCAAGTTTGAATTTAAGTTGCTCCAACAATTCGATCCTGGTCAAACTTGAGCTCAAATCGAACGTTGACTCAATAATTCACGAGCCGTTCGATTCCTTTGCAGCCCTACTCCACACACAATAAAACATTATCTTAAGTAGACCAAATCTCATTGCCTTGAGGAATCTAAGTAATGCACTTTTGTAAGAAACCAAAGCTGCCTACCTACAACCAATAAAGCCACACACTGCCCCCACTCTTCTCTCTCCATCCATATATACACACACATGACTATATTTAGAGATGATATATTCATGATGTAGATTTGATTATTTGTCGGGTAGCTGTCTTTCTTCTCTTTTTGGGTGACTTCAAAACATAGAAAATGTAATTATATATTGTTGGGAATTACAAACCATATAGTGATCCAAGACTGTCTATACAAATGATCAAACAAATCCAATTAATTAAAGTTACATGTTGCTAACATATAATCACATTATTTTGGCACACATTACTATAATTTGTTAATAACAATAATATCATTAGCTAGCATGGCTCGAAAGTTTAAGCCAAATCCTGCATGCCATGAAAATTGTGAGGCTACCTAACAGTGAGGCATGTCGACCAATCATACTTTTGCATAACATATGCAGAAGAATATCGTACTTTTGTCTATATTCTTCTTTATATTATGTATATCTTTTAAAAAAATATGATTGTGAAACTAAAATAACTAAAAATGTAGAAATTCAAAATTGGAAACAACACATATAACTCAGTGTTTGTGTGTGTGTTACAGAGGGCTAGCAGCTTTAGTATAGTTTTTGTAACGTTCTTTTAATCCGTATGGCGACATAATACAACGAGCTATATTGTATATCTGTGTGTGTGTGGTTTATGAAAAAATAAATAAATAAACTGAAATTGAAATGAAATATAAATATATAGTGCCTTTTTATAATTAATTAGTAAAGTTGGGCAAGGATTGAAGATTCCAATTTGGTCATTGTCCTATACCACGTTAGTTGCTCCTCAATTGTATAACATGGGTGCCCCTTGGAATCTGATTCCCCGCGTTTTAATTATTTTACCAGCCCAGCAAAAAGAAAACTCCTTTGTCCCACTTGTCTTTCAATATTATTAATTGTATCATCAACTATTATATGCGGGGTTTAGGCCAGAAATCGAGCTCAAGTTGGATTCAATTATCAATTTTAACGAATCGAGTTTTTAACAAGTTAAATTATAATTTTTTTTATAAGAACTCACTTTTTGAGACTTAACGAACCTTATTGAGTCGATGAGACTTAACGAACCTTATTGAGTCGATGTACTTAACAAACCACTCAAATATACGTAGATAACCTAGTTAGATACCATTAATTAACTAGATTGTTTTTATTAATTTTTCGAGTTGAGCCAAATTTGAGCTGATCTCAACTACTTGTTTTTGTCTATCGAGTCAAGCCGAACATAAAAATATTTGGCTTTTGATGCTTAACAAACCAAGGCTAATTCGATAAAAGTTAATACTCGATCGGCTTGACCTGACCCGTTTGTTGCACTACATAAATAAATGAATAATTTCAGTTGAATGCTGAAATTGGCATGACTTATAATGGTTCTAGTTTTTAGCTTTTCGAATTTATTATTTGACCTCTCCGTACGTTAAATATTTTTCGAGAATTTTGTTTAATTAACACTACAAGAAAATAATGAAATTCCAACGGATATATATTCCAATAGAAGAAGCATCTGACTACCAATGAATATTTCAATGTTATTATTTCCGTTGGAATTATTCCAACGGAAATTCCTACAAAAATATTCCGTTGGAATGAATTTTTCATTGGAATTTCCGTTGAATTTTGACGATTTCCAATGGTAGTGGAAATAAAAGTTCCAACGGAAATTTCTACGGTCAAAAGCCGTTGGAAATATAGCCGTTGGAATCATCAAATTCCATCTAAAATTCCAATGAAAAATACATTCCAACGGAATATTTTTATTGGAATTTCCGTTGGAATCATTCNCAATATTTGGGCCCAGCTTATTTACTTGTCAATTTGTACGCTTCTTATCCTTTCCTTTTAGTTATTTCTTTTATTTAGTTCTTTTATAGTCGTTGATATGTAACGAAGGAAAGAAGGCCAAAAGCTAACTAACAGGGCTACGTTGAAATTGTTACAACGCGTTTTGCAATATTTGGCAAATAAAAATAGTTAAGCAAAATGTATTTCATTAAAGTTAAAAGTTCTTTTTCCCCAACAAAACTTAATAAAAAATTGTTTAATTTGTCATCATATATTAGGTAAAACAATTATAGTATTTTTATATATATATATTGCATCACGAATTTCTTGAATATTCATAATTCGCAACTTTTCCTACATCTCAACCGTGTTCATTTTTGTGAATAATTGTATGACTAAGGTATGTGCAATGTTGCAAATTAAAAATTTTCAAAGTTCAAAAGCATATTACATGTTGCAGCTTATAATAATTTACGCTATATATTATTACATATGATATTGAAATGGTATATGTATTAAAATCTGCATTATAATAGTAATGCATGTGTACTTTACGTGTGTTCACATGATGATAATGCTAATATATATATTAATGGAATAAGCAATTTAAATCGTTTGTGGTATGAGTAATGTGTGACCTCTTGGAAGTGAGTTGTCGCGTTCTGATTTGAAAAAGAAAGAAGAATAAGAATACGACATTCATCACTTGTTTTTTTTATATGCCTGGTTTTAGATTTTTATGTTAATTTATTTTATATATATATATATTTTATGTTAATTTATTTTATATATATATATATATATTTTATATATTTTATATATATATATTTTATATATAAATATATTTTATATATATTTTATATATATATATATATTTTATATATTTATATATATATATATATTTTATGTTAATTTATTTTTATGTTAATTTATTTTATATGCCTGGTTTTAGATTTTTATGTNCATGCATGCAAGGCAGTGCATGATCACCAACATTTGAGTTAGAGCCCGAGTTCTTGATATTCGAGCTCGAGCTTTTATCACCTTAATTCGTTAACAAAATGAACTTGATTTTGGCCTATTTATTGATTCTGACAAGTTGATCTTGAGTCATAATGAACTGAACTATGGAAAACTTCATAATTATTTTCAAGTCTTAATGAGTTGAGCTGAGCGAGCCGAGCATACGAGCTGCTCATTTTATTAAACGACTTTATTCCTAATTATGTGGGTGGATTTCATTCTATTGCTTATATTGGGATCTCAACCGTCAGATTAACACACAGCTGCGCCATGATAAGATTGAATTCTCTCGCCCAGTAACAATTTTTTTAGTTTTTGTCCACTGATTTTTTGAATTTGATCATCAATGTTTTTCTTGTTCTTGATTATGAAGTATTTGATTTACTTCACAAATTTATTTAATTTTAAATTTTCAGTTACCTGATTCAGGTTCTAACCTAAATGACTATAATAACCCCAAGTCCAGTAATTTGATGGGCTAGGTCTTTCTTTTAGCCCAGTTTATGTGCATACACTGGTTAGTGTAGCCTACTTTTGGGCTCTAAGTTTTCTTGGGCGGGTAGAGCGGCAATATCCATTGGATATGTTGCAATAATTAAGTTTGAAGTTTTGTAACTGTATTCGATTATGTTTGAAAATTATTTTTATTCTTTGTTTATTAAATCCGCAGTCGAGCTGTTGTTCATCAAAGTTCGACTCCATTTACCCTTAATTTGGTCCACAATAGTTTATTGAATTCATGATTTCAGTTCGAGGCTGGAAAAACATACATGATCACTGAGAATGATTTTGGTACAAAATCAAGAGACTTGTACAAGAAACATAAAATCCATTTACCTCCAAATCTCTGAATTACAATTTCATTACCCAAAAAAATAAATAAAAAATCTCCAATTCTGTTACAGCTTAACAACATCTACAAAAACCTCTTACAAAACGTCTGTTATACAAAAAATCCGGCGACTCTACTCCAGCCTTACAGCCAAAAATAAAATAAAATAAAATAAAAAATACAAAATAAAAATCTATTAGGGCATTTTTCCGGCGACTCTATTCTCAGACTTATAGCCGAAAAAACAAAAGATTACAAAAGAAAAAGAAAACCTAATCTTGGGGCAATTTTTCCTGCGACCCTATCCTCAGTAGTGTATCGAATCCCTGAACAGATTCGCCTGCCGACCGACCTTCACCGGCAGCCCAAAATTCTGGTACACCCTTATCTCCCCTTCAACACTCGCCGCCACTATCACCATCCCCCACGCCGTCGCCTGCACCGCCTGCCCCCCGTGTGCTCCACCGCCTCCGCCGCCGCCGCCCAACGACCTCGACGATTCCGATTCCCCATACCCGATCGAGCTCGATGACTCCGACCCGAACGACTCGCTGACCCCTATCCCCGGGTCAATCCGGGCCGACCGGCCCGCCTCTTCCTCCTCGTTGCTCTTCCTGGGCAGCGGCGGTAGGAGCCGCCGGCTGCTACCCTTTCCTCCGCCGTCATCGTCGTTTTGTGGTGGGGCCCTCCTGGAGTGGTGGCGCTTGGATCTGATCTCAACTGTCGGGGGCTCGTTTCTGCTGCTCCCAGGCCAGGGGACGGCGGTCGTGACATCCTTGCAGGGGAAGTGCTCGTGGGCCATGACCGTGACCTTGGCCGGCCGCCGCTTGCCGGAGGCCGGAGTCTTGGACTCCTCCACTTTCCATATGTAGACCTGCGAGTCTTCGCTGGCACTGACAATGTGCTTCCCGTCCGGAGTGAACGAGGCCGCCATCTGGCTGCTCGTATTTCGAAATCCTAGCAAAAATGAAAATAAAAATCGCTCTTAAAATCGAGCAATTCGATTCCGGTTTTTGCCTTTCGTGTTTATTAGACTCGTACCTCGATATTTTTGAACGAGCTCTGTGCCGTTGTAGATTCGAATTCGTGAGTCGGTCGAAGTTATCAGCACTTCCGAAGGATTCCAAGGAGCGTACTGTGTGGCGCAAAACATCGTAAAATGTACGATTTTTTTGTCAGAGTGAGGAAAGCGAAAGAGTAGTTAGTATCTTGTCCGAAAGTGAAGTATACCTGAAAACCGGTGATTTTCTTGGGTTGAGGCTGAGATTGAAAACCAGGGAGTTTTTTAGCTTGTGACTTCACCTTCATTTGGACATCTTCTCTGTGTTCCAATTTACAGTCTGTCAAAAGAAAGCAAAAGTGTGGAAAAAAGATAAGGTAAATCCGAAAATATTCGAGATTCATTAGAGTTTTTTCGCAAAATGTTCTTACCTTCGATGCTGTAAAATCGACAGAACCCTTGATGAGAACCGATCACAGCACCCTTCAAAGAATTACGTGCAAAAATTTCGTCAGCTCAACAAACTGTTTGGGCACAATGTACACTAATCAAATCTCAAGGGATCATTACATGATGAAATTCCTCGAAGATTTTTTCACATAACTACCTGGCCATCGGGAGTATAGCTAGCAGCAGTAACCATTTCGTGAAGGTCCATCCAGTCGACCACATGCCGGTTAGGAATGTTCCATATTCGAACCTTTCCATCAAGCGAGCCGCTCATGAAATAGTCTTCGTCCACTGGATTGAACTGTATGCAAGTTACTGCCAACATCAAATCAAATCGAAATACTCGTTAGCCATTTTTTATGCCTGATCGAGAAATTTCATTATATTTCTTACTGCAGCAACTCACCATAGTCATTGTGCGCAAACATTTTCAAACAGCTTCTTGTTTCGAGATCCCATAATCGAACAGTCTTATCCATCGAAGAAGATAGCAGTAGCTGCACGGTGTGTTATCCGAACACTTTTCTTCATTTAAACAAATAAGATGATATATATACAACTAAAATCGCGAGTTAAAAAACAGAAAAATTAACCGACCTGATTATTTTTCGACCACGACAGATCCAAGACATCATCCTGATGACCCTTGAAAGTGCAAACCGGTTTTTCTGAGAGGCCGAAAACCATCTCCGGCACGTTCACATAATCCGGTATCGAGCTCCCCTTTTTCCTATTGCTTTTCCCTTTCTTTTTTCTCTCGGATGGCATCGGTGTTATCTCCGCCAGCGGCGGCCGGTGGTCGGAAGCCATCGGGTGAATCGGTGTCCCGCCAACTGAGCTCACCAGCTCATCCCCTGTTCTGGCCGACATTACCTCACACTCTTGCACCTCCCACACGTGAATCGACTTGTCCTCCCCTGCGCTCGCCAAGTGGCGCGCGTCATGGCTGAACTTAATGGTCCAAACCGACCCCTCGTGGGCTTGTATCTCCTGCGACATGTGCAGGGCAGTGAACTCCTTGTACGATTTTCCGTGTTGTCGGGCCTTAACCCATTGAGATGTGGAGGCCTTCGTTTCCTCTTGCAACGCTTGCTCGTGTTCCTTGCTTAGCCCACTCATAGAGGTGGCCACACCCTTTATGTTCTTTAAAAGGGCGGCCCCTTTTCGTTTGCTGTTCCGAAAGCTCTTGGTGAGGAGGGAGTTGGCGTTGAGCTTGCGGTTTCCGTCCCTTGCGACCTTCCCCCGTCGCATAAGCTCCTTGACGATAGGCGAGTACCCGACTGACTTCTCGAATTCCTCAATCGTTAACTGTTTGCCCGTCTCGACCTCGCTCAACTTGTTCCACATCCCTTGCTCGTTGTACTCCTTCACGATGAACTCCTTGCCCGTGTCTAGGTTTTTTATAAGGAAGAACGACCCGATCGCGCTGTTGTTCGTCGGAAGCAGCTGCGCGGCAGAGTCTCCGGATTTGGTCCTCGGCCCATCGGCGGCGGAGGTCGTGTACTGGCAGACGCTGATGGTGGATATCTGGAGGCCCGAGGAGGTTCGAGTCAGTCTCTGTTTCGAGACGGACCCGATTAGGTCCTCCTTGCGTTGCTTGGTTCGGGCCGAGAAGGCGTCGATGTCGCTGTCCGATCTCGAGCGGACGAGCATGATCGTGGCCGTCGGAGGGGACATATGTTGTTGCTGTTGTTGCTGTTGTTTCTGTTGTTGTTCGTCGTTTGTTTTTTTCGGAGAAGAAGAGGAGGAAGTAGGAGGGGAGGGAGACGGGTTGGGTTTGGGTTTGGGTTCGGGTTCGAGTTCGGGCTTTGGTGGGTTAGAATCGGGCTTTTGGGAGATGGCTCGGGAGATCTTGGAGGTTGCGAGCCGGAGCATGTCTTTGGAGCTGGCGAGGCCCATGCCTTGGAGGAGGCGCTTGCGGCGCTCGTGAATGTCGCCGGGCTCGGAGATCCACATGTCGTAGGAGGCGAGGACGGAGGGGGTTTGGAGGTCGTTGGATCGAGAAACGGCCACCTTGATGGAGGCGGAGGAGATGGTGGAGGTGAAGGACATTCGGCTATCCTCGAAGCCTTCCGAGTCGTCGTCGGAGGAGGAGGCGAGGTCGAGGGGGACGACCGACGAGATGCGCTCGCGCGACTCAAAAAAGTTGTCGTCATCGTCATCGTCGCCAGCAAGACCGTCCCAATTCATTGTCAGTGTTCGACGATTCATCGTTGCACATTGCATTCTTTTTCCTTCTTTCTTTTTGGATGTGTTTTTGTCTCTGTGTGTGTATGTGTGTGATTTTTTTTGTTCTTTCTGGTTGGATATGTTTTGTGTGTGTGTGTGAGAGAGAGAGAGAGAGTGTGTTTTTGTGAGGTTTTTTTGTGTTTATGGTTGAAATTTTTGTTGTTTTGAGTGAATGTGGAGAAGAGAGGGAGTGGAAGGGAGCAAAACAAGGGGAGAAGAGGAACTATTTAAGACATAAATGAGGAGTTATATTTGATGTGTTTAAGAAGATTTGTTACATCTGGAAATGGTCATAGTTGATGGTCAACGGGTGTAACCTCTCTTCACGTCTT